CTTCCTTAGTGACATGGTCTCTAATGAAGTGATGTCTTATTTCAATGTGCTTAGTTCTAGAGTGTTGGATGGGATTTTTAGTGAGACAAATAGCACTAGTATTGTCACACTTGATAGGAATGATACCTACTTCAATTCCATAATCAAAAAGTTGTTGTTTCATCCATAAAACTTGTGCACAGCAACTACCAGCTAAAATGTATTCGGCTTCAGTGGTAGATAATGCAACACAATTTTGTTTCTTTGAAAACCAAGAAATTAGCATATTTCCAAGGAATTGGCAAGTACCGGAGGTACTTTTCCTGTCTAATTTGCATCCTCCATAATCCGCATCAGAAAAAGCATGCAAGCTAAAGCTAGAGTCTCTAGGATACCAAAGTCCTAAACTAGGAGTGTCCTTAAGGTATCTAAAGATTCTCTTAACAGCTAGTAAATGTGATTCCTTATGGCATGATTGAAATCTAGCACATAAGCAAACACTAAACATAATGTCCGGTCTACTTGCAGTTAGATAAAGTAGAGATCCAATCATTGACCTATATAATTTAATATCTACATATTTACCTCCTTCATCTAAGTCAAGCTTTGTTGAAGAGCTCATTGGAGTGTCATGAGGTTTCCCATTTTCCAGTCCAAACTTCTTGAGCATATCTTTGACGTAATTAGCTTGATTGATGAAGATGCCATCTTTTCTTTGCTTGATTTGGAGTCCCAAGAAAAATGAGAGCTCCCCCATCATGCTCATCTCAAACTCACTTTGCATTAGCTTAGAAAATTCTTGGCAAAGAACATCATTAGTAGAACCAAATATTATATCATCAACGTAAATTTGAACTACTAATAAATCTTTACCTTTATGCTTCAAAAACAATGTAGTGTCAACCTTCCCTTTTGAAAAACCTTTTTCAATTAAAAAATTTGACAATCTTTCATACCAAGCTCTAAGAGCTTTCTTTAAACCATAAAGTGATTTTGTCAATTTTAAAACCATTTAAAAATGCACTTTTAACATTCATTTGATATAATTTAAATTCATTGAAACATGCAAATGCTAATAACATTCTAATTGCTTCCATCCTAGCTACGGGAGCGTATGTTTCATCATAGTCTATGCCCTCTTCTTGAGTATACCCTTGAGCAACAAGTCTAGCCTTATTTCTCACTATATTACCACTCTCATCAAGCTTATTCCTAAATACTCATCTAGTACCTACAGTAGATTTATTACTAGGCCTTTCAACTAATGCCCATACTTTACTTCTCTCAAATTGATTTAACTCTTCTTTCATAGCCATAATCCAATGTTCATCATTTAATGCTTCTTTAATATTCTTAGGCTCTATGCATGAGATAAATGCAACATAATTACAAATATTTCTAAGAGAAGATCGAGTTGTTACCCCTTTTGATGGATCACCTATAATTTCACCATCTTTGACATAGTTGTACTCCCTTGGATAAGATACTTCCATTTCTTCAATGGTTGGATTCTCAAGAGGATCATGAGTTTCCTCATTTTTCGTTTCTTCCTTTGATGATGGTTCTCCAACGTCATGTCTAACGTCATTTGTATTTATAACACCTACATCATCATTCACACAAGAATCATTCCTCGGAAGGGGATTATCATCGAAAACAACATGTATAGACTCTTCTACAACTAAAGTTCTTTTATTAAATACACGATAGGCTTTAGAATTTAAGGAATAACCCAGAAAAATTCCTTCATCACTTTTAGCATCAAATTTGCCAAGGTTTTCTTTACCGTTGTTTAAAACAAAACATTTACATCCAAAAGGATGAAAATAACTAATGTTAGGCTTTTTATTTTTGAAAATTTCATATGGGGTTTTCTTTAAAATTGGCCTAATCATTACTCGATTTATAACATAACAAGCGGTATTTGTGGCTTCCACCCAAAAATATTTTGGCAAATTATTTTCACAAAGCATGGTTCTAGCCATTTCTTCTAAAGTTCGATTTTTCCTCTCAACAACTCCATTTTGTTGAGGGGTTCTAGGTGCTGAAAAATTATGGCTAATACCGTTAGAGTTACAAAATTCAGTAAATCCAAGATTTTCAAATTCAGTTCCATGATCACTCCTAACACTAGTTATAGAGTAACCTTTTTCATTTTGGATTACTTTTGAAAATGTGATAAATTGTTCTAATGCTTCATCTTTAGTATTTAAAAATAGAACCCAAGTATATCTAGAATAGTCATCTACCAAGACAAATGCATATTGTTTTCCACCCAAGCTAGTAGTTCTAGTTGGCCCAAAAAGATCTAAATGGATCAATTATAAAACTCTACTAGTTGATACATCATTAATGGATTTAAAAGAAACTCGCTTTTGTTTTCCTTTAGCACAAGCATCACAGATTCTATCATTATCAAATTTAAGCTTAGGCAACCCTCTTACTAGGTCTCCTTGAATTAACCGTTGCAAAACACTCATACTAGCATGTCCTAGTCTCCTATGCCATAACCAACTATCATGTTCATCCTTAGCAACTAGGCATAAATTAGTCATATCAAAAGAATCTAAATGCACCATGTATATGTTCCCTATTCTATGACCAACAAGCATAATCCGATTAGATGCAATGTTAATGACTTTACAACCATTAATTTCAAATAAGACATTGAATCCTTTATTACATAATTGACTAATACTCAATAGATTATGCTTTAATCCATTCACATATAAAACATTTTTAATTTGTATGGAAGAGGTATTACCTATTGTACCAATACCTTCAATGTGACCTTTTGAATTGTCTCCAAAAGTCACTTCTCCTCCATTTTTGGCGTTAAGCTCAATGAACCGGCTTTTGTCTCCGGTCATGTGTCTTGAGCATCCACTATCAAGGTACCATGAATTTGAATTTGTTTCCCGTGCCTTGTAGCAATGCTTCTTTCCCTACAAACATAGATTAATTTTTGATTTTTAGTACCCAAATTCTTTTGGGTCCATATTCATTAGTTTCCAAAATCCTAGTCCCCTTAGGTATCCATTTGTGTAGGATATTTTTATCTTTAGTAGTAATGAGTTCTTTAGGAACCCACATACTTCTAATGATTTTTTCATTAGAGGTTCTTTGGGGACCTCTATGATTGTAGTTTCTAAAACTTTTTCTAACAAAGTTAGATTTTGAATTTCCACCTTTTTCAAAATGTTTTGTTCCAACTTTATCAAAAGAAGTTTTAAGATCATCAATTTTCTTTTGATGATCATCATTGATCATTGAAAGTAAATTTTGCAAATCTAACTTTTTCTTTTCAAACTCTTCTAGTTTGATTTGCAAATCTTTGATTTTACTTTCAAGATCATTATTGGTTTTGGATATGAGTTTGTTTTCATTTTTCAATTTTGAAACATCATTTTTATATTTTAAAAATAATTTTTCATAATCCGAAGCCAACCCATTATATTCCTCTAATAACTCATCATAGGATAAATCATCAAAATCGAATGAGTTAGAGGTTACCTTAGAATCTTCCTCAAATGTCATCAAGCACAAGTTAGCTACTTCTTGTTCCTCTTCATCGGAACTTTCTTCATCGCTCCATGTAGCCACATGAGCCTTGTGCTTATTCTTTGATTGACCCTTTTTCTTCAATTGTGGGCAATCATATTTAACATGCCCTGGCTTTTTGCATTCGTAGCAAATGATTGGGTCCTTCTCTTTTGGTTTATTTTTTAGGCCTTCATTTCGTTTGAATTTTCTTCCTCGATAAGGTCTCATCATTTTTCTGAACCGTTTGACAAACAATGCCATTTCCTCGTCATCGTCATCGTTATTCGAATCACTCTCATCTTTTGTGGATTTGAGAGCAACTCCAATGTTTTTCTTCTTCTTCTCCTTCTTCTTTGGTGTCTCGTCAATCTTATCGAGGTCCATCTCATCTTCGAGCATCATTTCATGAGTGAGGAGTGACCCAATTAGCTCTTCAAGAGTTAAGGACGTTAAGTCCTTAGACTCGATGATTGTCGTCTTCTTTGATTGCCACGATTTTGGGAGGGAGTAGACTAACTTCCTCACAAGCTTTTCATTTGAAATGATCTCTCCATATGATTTGAGACCATTGACAATCTTTGGAAATCTATCCGTCATAGCTTTGATATCTTCATTAGGTTTCATCCTGAAATTTTCATAGCTATGCGTTAGAATACTAATTTTAGATTTCTTTACCTCATCAGTACCTTCATGAGTGACTTGAAGTTTGTCCCATATTTCTTTGGCGGTTGTACACGATGAAACTCTTCCGTATTCATCTGGTCCAAAAGCACAAAAAATGATATGAATGGCTTTGGAGTTGAGCTGGAACATTCGTCTCTCATTCACTCCACAACCTTGGATGAGTGAGAGGTTTGATGTATCCTTCTTCTACAGCATTTCATGATCCCATGTTACTTGCTTGAATGGAGTACATCATTATATTCTTCCAATAGGCATAGTTAGCTCCATTGAAGAAAGTAGGCTTGTTGATGGGCATCGAATCGAGACCGGAGTCGAAGTTTGAAGCAGAGGCCATTGATGACTTTGATTATCGATATAACTCTTCCCGAATCGACTCAAGAGGCGATTAAACCTTCAAATGAGTTAGGCTCTGATACCAATTGTTGAGTTAATCGATTGACGAATATGGCCAAGAGGGGGTGAATTGGCAATTAAAAAATTTGGTGGAAGCTTTTGCAGAAAATTGAAAGAAACTGCACAGCGATTTAGAGTGGTTCGACTTTATCAACCAAAGTCTACGTCCACTACCTTAGCTATCCACACTAAGGATTTTCCAACAAATTCACTAATTTGTTCTTTCTTTTGAGGCCAAAGAGATAACCTTACAACTCCCTCAAGAATATACCCCAATTCTTGAGAACACTCTTTTCTCAAAGAGAAATACAAATTTGCAAACTTACAAGAAAAACCTCACAAGGCAAATATGTTTGCACAATTCTAGAACAAAGAAAGAACACTCAAGAATAAATACAATTGAGCATAATAAGTGTTCTTGAAAGCAAAATGAATATTGAATGAAAAATAGGCTTGAAATGCTCAAACTTGAGGTTTGATGCTTTCTCTTTGATTCTCTCTTGATTCTAATTGCTTGATGTTTCTTGTTTTTGATCAATGGCTTCTAAGCTTGCTTAAATACACCTTGAATCACTTTTGAACGTTGGGGATAATTAGAGAAAATAATATAGCCGTTTTAGTGTGAAAACAATTAATAAAACAGTTTGGAGCGTGGGGGGAATCGATACCCCCTATGGATAAAAAGTTATATGATAAATTGTTAAAGTGTGAGTTTTGGTTATCAGAAGTTGATTTTCTTAGTCATGTTGTCTCCGCATATGGCATAAGAGCTAAAAAATATAAAAAAACAGAAAAAAAAAGAAAAAAAAAAGAGAAAAGAGAAAGAAAACGAAGAAAAAATGAAAATGAAAAGAAAAAGGGAAAAAAGTGAGAGATGAAAAAAATATTTCACTTGTGAAAAAAAATGCGAGACTAAAGACTTTGAAGTCAACTCTGATGAAAATCATTGAGGAAGAATTTGTATTCCTCATAATGATGAGTTGAAGAAAAATATTCTTTCTAAGGTACATTATAGTCTACTGACTATGCATCCAGGTAGGAACAAAATGTATCAGGATGTAAAGAGTCATTTTGGTGATTGAGTATGAAAAGAAACATTACTGAGTTTGTTGCTACATGTTTGACATGTCAATAAGTAAAAGTTGAACATCAAGTGCTTTTGGAATTGTTACAACTGATTTATATTCCATAGTGGAAATGGTAAAGAGTCACTATGGATTTTATTATAGGGTTACCTTTGACATCAAATAAAACGAATTCCATTTGGGTGATAGTGACCGGTTAATTAAATCGGCACATTTCATTTCGATGTGAATGGACTATGCATTGGATAAATATACAGAGTTGTATAACTTGGGAAATAGTTTGACTACATGGAATGTCAGTATCCATTATATCTGACAGGGATCCAAAGTTCACTTTAAGATTTTGGAAATATTTGCATAAAGTTTTGGGTACTTGATTGAATTTGTAACATCCCGAAATTCAGGATCAGTGACTAAATTGCAAATTTTGAAAACTATGTGCTTGATTTCGAAATAAGTTAAAATTTCATGGATTTAATAGTAAAGCTGGAAAGTAACAAGGGTATTATGGTCTTTTCTAAGAGAACATTTTTATTCTCTCTTTTTCAGGAATATAAAAACGTGGGAAATGAGGAAATCTATCCAGAGTCTTCTTCTTCAGCTTCTTCTTCTCCCCGTAAGCCTCAGTTAAAGGTGAGTTTAATTTCAACTGTTTAATTCTTGGATTTATAAGTTGATTTTGATTCTTTGAGTATTATATAAGCTTAAGGAAAGCTTATATAAGCTTTAAACATCAAGCATATAGAATTAAAAAGGAAATTATATGAAGGGTGTAGAAATGAACTTTTGTTAGAGAATTTTTTTTGAAGTTCTAAAGATGGATTTGACTTGTCAAATGGTTAATTAAGAAGTTAGAGGTGATAGAATTGAATTTAGAAAACATGGAAAATTTGATGAAATTCTTTGATTCAAGAATTATGGTGAATTATGAGATATGGTGAAGTGTTATAGTATTATAAGAAGGTTTAAATATGTATAGATAAGTTTTAAGGTATAAGGAGGGATTAATAAGTAGAATTTGGGGTCAAAACAAGACATTTTCGTGCTTAAAATGTAATTCTGGGTAGTGTGCATCGATTCATCTTTAATGTGTATCGATGCACTCTCAAATAAATGAACATCGAATGCAATTAGTGCATCGATGCATAAGGAGTGCATCGATGCACCCCCTTAAGATTAAAACATCGAAGGTGATTGGTGTATCGATGCATGGGTAGTGCATCGATGCACATGTTAAAGGATGCATCGATACACTGTAGAATGTACTGATGCACTTTAATGGGAAATGGAATAAATCTTTCTTTCATTCTAAGAAATGATAAATTAAAGTATATCAATCTGATATTGATAGTATAAATACATGATTGTGTAGATATCAAGCACGAACAAGTTCCGGAATGATTATCAAGTTAAGATTCGATCGGAAGAAAGGAAAGCATAAAAGTGGATTGGAACTTAGTGAGGTCAAGGTGAGTGCATATTAGTAGTATATGATGTTAAATGAAAATAAGACTTGTGACAAGTCTATTTCCAATAGTAAAATGCATGAATTCATAAATAGAAGTATATGTGTGTATGAATTATATGTGTTGACATGTTATTATATATATGTATTATATGGTTGATGTGAATATATGCTATGTTATGATGATATAAACCATATGAGATGATAATAAATTATATGAATATAAAAGATAAGATCTTTGAGATATATATAGAAATGAAATATAACTACATGAATACATGATATGAGATAACTTAAGTAATAATATGAGAATATGGTAAAAGTGAGTTTATGAGAAGTGATATGAACTAAATAAGCAAAGGAAAAGGTTACATAAATAATAAGAAGGTGAGTTGGGCAAGTACATAGTAGTATGATCAATTAAGTGATAATATGAACATATAGGATAAGATGGATGGGAAAGATTCATATGCTTAAATAAAATTATGATACATTAGTTGTATGATAAAAGCTATGGAGTGATATGAGAAGATTATAAGAATTATATGGAATTGAATTAAGTAAATTGATTAATTTGTATATAAAATAAATAATAGAAGTAATATATATATATATATATATATATATATATATATATATATATATATATATATATGTATATATGTTTATAAGTATAATATAGGTTATGTAATGTAAGTGCATACTAAGAAATAAAGAATAAGATAGATGATACGATATAAATTATATTATGAATTAGTGATGTAGGAATGCGATATAAATATGCAATAAATCTTATGTGTTATATGATAAATATGAACATATGAGAATAAGAGATAAGATAAGTGAATTGGTGATAGAAGTTATATGACCATGAATTATGTAAATATGAATAATTTAAGTGATATGTAACTATGAGTACTGGAGTATGTATCTATGTGATGTGATACATGAGGTTATATGAAATATTATATTATATGATTATATGAAAAATAATATAGATTCACGTAAGTTATATAGAAATGAGTTGTGTAAACATGCCTGATATGTATGACATGTTTATAGGAACACATGAGAAATGTTATATGCTATGAGATATATAAAAGAGAAAGTATATGTGATAAGTGAAAGTGAATCGTATGATTACATGAAGATGTGAAACGATATAAAGATAATGCCCATGATATGAGTTATGAGAACTGTAGGTATAGTTGGCATGTCAAGAGTCGAGGGTTTACCTATGTTCTACGGAACATATGGACATAATTACCTATGTCTTTTGAGACATATGGACAATATACCTATGTTCTAAGGAACATATGGATAGTTTACCTAGGTTCTTTGGGACCTATGGACAGTTGCTGAGGTTCTTTATGACCTATGGATAGGTCCTTCAGGACATTCATTAAGTTGTGGTGACAACATACGTGTGCACAATCTCATAGTACTCGTATACCTTGAATTCTCAATAGTGTATATGGGCTTAAACAGGACATAAAGAGGATGTATATGATGGTATTTTAATACGGTATTATTATGATTTACATTGTTTCATATGTGGTATAATAAATAATAATATGATAGTATAATTGCATTTGGATAGTAGACTGCATGTTTATATTTTTAGTAATTCTTTATTATGTAATGATGCCTCACTAAGTCTAAGACTTAGCGTGTAAGTGTTTTTACACGTAGGTTTCGAAGAGCAAAAGAATCAAGAATAGGAATTTGCAGATCAACATATCTCCACTCAGCGATCAGATCAGAAGTAAAGTCACAATATGTATTTTGTTGTATGTAGGGTGTTGGCATGTAAGAAATATGTTAGTTACAAATGCTCTGATCAGTTGTGTCTTGTTTTGGTCAACTTATGTAAAGTAACAATGTTATTTTAATGAAAGTTTAAAATTTCTTCGGTTTTCTTTAAAAGTCAAAGTTTGTAAAGAAATGTGACGCTTCAAACTCGTATCCGAGTCGGAAAACAGGTTGGGGTGTTACAGAATTTCAGTACAATTTTTCAACTACGGATAGATGGTAAGTCAGAAAGTACTATTCAGATATTAGAAGATATGCTGAGTGCATGTGAGATTGATTCCAAGGAATCATAAGAAAAGAAAAGAATCTGTTTTTAGTAGAATTTTTCCTACAATAACGATTATTAATTGAGTAACAAGGCTGATGGCTTATCAGTTAGCATTAACTCTGGAGGTAATTGAGATCCAGAGTTGGACAAAGTGCACAATGTTTTTCATATGTTGATACTTAGAAAGTATCGATTAGATTCTTCATATGTCATTGCATCAGAGGAAATTAAGATTCGAACAGATTTAACTTATAAAAGAAGAACCAATATGGATATTAGCTCTAGAAATCAAAGAACTGCGTAACAAGATGATTCCTCTAGTCAAAGTGATTTATCAAAATCTCCTTAGAAGACGTTACTTTGGGAAAGAGAGGATGATATGTAAATGTGTAGATATTTTAATATCAGGTTGAAGAATTGGATTAAACATGTTCAAAATCTAATGATTTGCATGATCTTCACAAAAATCCCTAAATTAAGGAAGAAAAATTGGAATTCAAGAAGTTGGCAAGATTAGAAGAGGTTTTCGCATAAGGTGTATGCATGGATTATTCATCTTGAGCAATCCTTATAAAAGGGGAGTTAGTGTTTTCATAGAAAATTTTAAAATTCGAGGACGAATTTTCTTAAGGAGGGGAGAATTGTAATACCCCAAAAATTTAAACAATGACCAAAATGAACATTTGGAAAGTTTGATGGTCAAAGTAGAAAATTGGGAAAAATTTGAGGAATTAAGTGATAAATTTCCTAAAAAGAAATTTATTCCATAAATAGATGGTTTACTCTTAAGAGTAGAGTTTTATGGAAATCATATTTTTGAAATTTGAATTTTAGTAAAGAAAAACTAGAAAGGGTTAAAGTTCGATAAGGAATCGGTAATTCCGATCGAATTAGAATTTTACAAAAATTTGAAGGATGTTATAAAATGGTTGGAAATATTATTTTAATATTTTATATCAGAGAAATTTGGTTTGCAAATGTGCAATTTTTCAGATTTAATCGAAACAGTGGAATTTAGTGACTAAAACGCAAATTTTGAAAATTCAAGGGGAATTTCAGAAATGAAAGTCAAATTAATTCATATTTGACTTTGTAATATGATAAGGATCAGATGGCTTGGTTTTATGGTGAATAGGAAGATTCATTAAGGGTGATTTGGTCTTATCTCAACTAAATGAATATTATATTCATTTAAAGTGGAATGAAATGTAAATTAAGATGAGATGTTTCCCACATTTCATCCAAATTTTTTCATCTTCTTCTCCAACCAGACGTGGGTTTCTTCAAAGGTAAGAGAAAACTTCAATTCAATTTTCAAGCAATTTCCTTATGATTTTGAGTATGTCGAAAATAGAAAATTGTTATATGCGAAAAACGTTATCATTTGGTACCAATATTACATGATAATATTGTTAGTGTTCAAGTTCATCTTGAGTTGATGAAGGGGATGTTGATTTCTTGTGTTTTATGGGTTATAGAGTTAAAGAAAACAGTTTATATTTTGAATTTAGCAGTGGGTTTGAAAATTCACCAGAAATTATATAAAAATAATTTGGAGGTTATTTTTATATATTATGTTCATATATCGATCTAATTTTGTTTAAAACAAACAAGGATCAATTTCAATGTGTATACAAAAAGATATGAATTTTTAACCAAGAAAATGTCAGAAAAATCGGACAGCAGATTCTGCAAAACAGATTCTGTTGATCAACTTTGAAAATTCACCATAAATTGTACATAATGAATTAGAATGAGATCTTTATATGAATAGATTCGTATTCGAGTCTAGTTTTCAAGGGAAGAAACATAATTAAATTCCAGTGTGTATATCAATACATAATACTGATTCTTTAAAAGTAGTGTGAATTGTCTGAATATGGAAAATTGATGGGTTGTTGTGTAAGTGTTATATAATGGATGTATCATGCTGGAAATTGTTGTTTGGGAATTGAAATGAGTGTTAGATATGAAAAATGACTATTTTGGAAGTTTGAAAAGATTTGTGATTTAAGTACAACAATTGCATAGTTGGGGTACTTAAATGTAATTATGCTTTTATAAAAGTATTTGAATGATAATAATTTTAATGCTGAAATTATTGGTATTAAGAATCTAAGTGATAAAATGGTGAAGGACCATTTTGAGTAAATTGGAAAAGTTGGCTCTAATGTTTAAAGGAATTATTAAGAGTTGAGTGTTTTGATAGATAATTAGTTTCAAATATATTATGGAGTTATTTTGGAAATATATTTATGTTAGTACAATACTAACATATATATAGGTATGAATTTATATTTTGTACAGATCGTGATTTACTCAGTGTTCAAAGCGATTTGAGTATAAAAGGAAAGGGTTATTGTGGACAATAGTGAGGCACAAATTTGGAAAATTATAAAGTGTCAAGGTAAGTGCAATACATGCATGACATTATACATGGATGTTTTATACATCATCAGGAAGACTTGTGATAAGTCGACCTTGTTTATATCAGCATGATATTATGTCATATTTTTATAAATTGACATGACATTGATATGTCACAGTATGAAATTATAATGCATTGATTATAGAAAATGTGATATTTTACCATGAATGTTTTCGGGTATGAACTGCCCAATGTTAAATATTGATATTATACTTTGCCATGGATGAATCGAATAAAATAGACTATATGCCCAAGTAAGTCATTGAGGGACAGGGTATAGTTGGCATGCCATAGAGTATAGCGGTTGCAGGTTTATAATACACTTCGGTGTATATGGTGGGCACGACCTTATATGTAATACACTTCGGTGTATATGGTGGGCACGACCTTATGTGTAATACACTTCGGTGTATATGGTGGGCACGACCTTATGTGTAATACACTTCGGTGTATATGGTGGACACGACCTTATGTGTAATACACTTTGGTGTATATGGTGGGCACGACCTTATGTGTAGCACTACGGTGCAAATATTACTCGAATACCCAGGGTCCTTAAGGTTGTATATTGGGCTATAGGCTATGATTTATGATTTATTGCTTAATAAATGGTAAGTATGCAAATAAGCTTCCGAGTTTATGGAATAAATGGTAAGTATATTGGTAAAATAAGCTTACGAGCTTATGGAATAAATGGTAAGTATATTGGGAAAATAAGCTTACGAGCTTATGGAATAAATAGTAAGTATATTGGTAAAATAAGCTTACGAGCTTATAGAATAAATGGTAAGTATATAGGGAAAATAAGCTTACGAACTTATGTAATAAATGGTAATTGTATTTGTAAAATAATCTTGCGAGCTTATGGAATAAATTGTAAGTATATTGGTAGAATAAACTTACGAGCTTATAGGAAAAATGATAAAAAAAATTTATATAATTTTGATCATTGTAAAATATTGGATAGGTTGGTAATATGATTTTATGGTATTTTGAAATTGACATTGAAATTCGTGCATGAATTGTATTGCACTGTTTATTGTTTTAATTGTCTCACTAAGTTTATACTTGGCGTATGATGATTTTCACGCGTAGGTAAAAATCCAATAGTGGAATTAAGAGTTCAAAGTGACATCAAGTATCGATTAGTATATTTCAATATCAATAAGACATCATATGATGAAATTTGACTTAGATAGTAGCATGAAATTTGATAATGTTCAATTTGTTTTGTTGAATTAATTTAGAAACAAATTGGTAAATTGATAGTGATGAAAGGTTAATTTTTATGAGTTTTATATGTAATTTTCAGAAGTTACTGTAACAATGAACAGTAACCAAGTTTAAAAAAAAATTCCAAAATGCTTTGAGGGAACCGATTCCCCGCTACAGGAACCAATACCTAGGGGTGTATTTGGTTCGGTTTATTGATTTTTCAATAAAAAAATCACTTGAAACTGTAAATTTTTTTAAAAAAATTATCTATTCGATTCAATATGGAACAAATGAGTTCCATATGAAAAACCCGAACCAAACCAAATCAATAAAATTGAGACTTCAAACCAACCTAAAAACCGAACCGTATATTGCCAAACTGAACCGAAACGAAATATTTTACTCGGTTCGTGTCAATTTTTCGATTTTCTCGATTTCGTTGTTCAGCCCTACCGATACCCTCACTGTTCACAGTTCACAGATCCTATTCATAAAAAATCTTTTGAATTAAATTTGTTACAACGAAGGTTAATTTTTTTTTATATGATATTTTTATAATATCAGTTATTATTTTAAGAGAATAAATCTTAAATCACTTTTGAATACAAAATGGTTTTAGAAATTCGGATAACATCTATAATCTGTATAGGTATAATCATACGGGTTATGGGTGTTACACAAAGCTTAATCTTTAATTTTCTTTCTTTTATCGTCTGATTCTTGGTCGTTTCCGATGAAGCTGCGTTTCTAGGTCGTGTTCATGCAAGGTCTAATAACCCATTCGATCTGTTCTTGACTCTGCTCCATTGTTCCTAATTTTACCTACAACATAACCAAGTCAAGTGAATTTAAACTGCAATTCCAGTTACTTGAAATACCTTACAATTTATCGATATGGCAAGATACTTACCTGATAAAGCCGCAATTCAAACCTAGGACCAATCTCCTTCAACTCAACTGATTTAGGACCCCCAGGCTTCTCATAGATATGATGCCTGTATGTTTACATGCTATAAATGAGTGAGGGTGAACATTTCATACCATTGAAACACAAGGCATAACAATCTATGTTGAGATTATAACAGAAAACCCGCAACTGAGATGTTGACTCACTTCAAGGTTTTGACAAGCATGGACCAATAGTTCCAAAGTATGCATGATGAAGTTCAGTGGTCCCCTTGTTATCCACAAATGATAACAATATCTCCGTTTTAATGAAAAATGAAACAAGAAAATTTACAAGAGAACCCACCTGAATGAAATATAGTCAGACCGATTAGCAAAAGTCACAATACGTTTTGTATCAGGCTTTGGCGCAGGGAATAAATGTTTTAGAATGCTCGCTGTCCTTTCACCGAGCTGGCAAAATAAATTGAAAAAGAATGTCAGCAACATAAAATATTAAGAAATAATCCCAAAAAGGTTCAAGAATGATTTGTACCCAACTGAATCATATGCTTCATAAATATGGCAATATAAAGCGACAAGACTACCTTGGTTTTAAAATTGTCAAGAATCAAATGCGGGTAAGCCTCAGGCATTGTTCCCATGGCTTTCTTATCCTTAATGTCATGTCTTGTAACATAAAGGGAAATATTAGGTTAAGAAAACAGGCATAGAAATAGAAGATAAAGTAAACACCTATGCAGGCAAGAGACATCAAATACTTACCACATTGAGTAACCCAAAGTATGCAGTGGGACCAAAAGGTAGATGACTTATGATCAAACCGTCTGGTATACCCCGACGTTCATGAACCAAAATAATATATGTAAACTCGTGTGCACGGCAACTTTCAATAATTTCAGATATAACTTGCAAATATGAAAAATAGGGATAGATAATAACCTTCTAATTTTCACTAGAAAACCAGTTTGATGTCAAATAAGTAAATAAATTTATCATGTAAAATTAAGGGTGTTGGTGCTCATTACATGGATCATGACTAGCAGAGCTGAGGCAAAGCAAATTAATTACTATTTAAAAGATTTAAAAGGTGAAAGTTGCAAATTAATTACTATTTGGAGAAAAAGAGCAACTCAAAAGGTTGCCAACGCAAAATTGCATCGAGAAGACTAATGGAGAAATGATTCAAAGGAAATATAGATTAAATAGAATGTTTAACATACAAATTCTAAAGTCATACAATACAAATTTATGGCAATTAAATGAATTACTCTAAACACTGAACATGACCATGGCCAGGTAACTGATAATAAAATCAAAGCCAAAACCAATAGTAGTAGTACCTACACATATATTATATTCTCAACATAGAAAAACAAAGACTTATTAACAATTCAGCAAATGCATCATGAAAAAAAGACCACAAAGAAGAATCTAAGGAATAAAGCATAGATTAAGAAACAATGCAATGATGCACTGACCTGGCCACCACGATTCATTCGCTCCGCATTAGGAAAGACAAACTTCAATTCCTAAAAGAAACATGCCACAGGAAACCAAATTAGTAATTAAACATACCCATACACACAAAATATCAGGGGAAAGTGGTATTTATCACCAAAATAGACAAACCAACCTTCACAAACTGTACAAGGGGAGCACTTGGATCCCGAGACGTTGTCAGCAAAATCTTAGGGTCTCGTACGGTGGCATTAGCATACTCATCATCAATATGTGTTCTGGGAACTAAAATCCACCAAAATTAAACACGTATATATCAACAACGAGAGAATAGCAAAAGAAAAAAATCCAAATTTTAGCAAAAATAAAAATATACATTACCGGCCGTGTAATCATCTTCGAGGTCAATTTCTTGGCGAAGCACGGCCTCCTCATTCCGGAGCTCAGTTGGAATGGGTTTTCCCTCTACAACGAATAAAAAAAAACAAAAACTGAACATTGGAATTAAATTTTGATAAAAGAACAAGAGAGAGAAAATTGAATGGTACCATCAAGGGCTTCTTTGATCTTCCGTTTCTTCTCATAAAGCAAACGTTCTTTGCCTTCCAAGCTCTTCCTGTACAGATACTCTCTTCTCAAACGAATGTTCCTTCTCAACATTTCTACTATCGCAGGGTTTTCTCTTCGAGGGTTTAGGGTTTATAATTCAAGTCCATACTTTCTTGGGCTTAGTAATACCCTACCCTGATTCGGATTCTTATTAAAAAAAAGTTTTATTAGTAAATTGCCCCCTAAAATTTACCTGATTTTCCACATTGATTCTAAACATTATTTATTTTATGTAGAGGTGATACATATATTATAATTTTTTCTTCTGAATCCATTAAACAACCTTAGCGATGGAGAAATCTTGAGTTTGAGTAATTATATTTACATATGTGTTATTTAATTTTTTTATTTTAATTTAACATTTAACGCTTTCATTATTTTTTTTATATTTGAACAGCTTAATAATATTTTTAATTTTTTAATATTTACCTAATTTTTTGTGCGAGCCCATTTCTTTACCTGGTAATTTTATCCAAGCTACGATACTTCAGGCATAGACGGATATCCTAAACTTTGAACCGGTGTACTTACTAAATCATTTGACATTCAAATTTAATATTTTTAAATGTGATATTAATGTTATTTTATCCCATATGATACTTGAATTTAACAAATATTATACATTTTGATACCTAAATTTGATTTTTTCCTAATGTGGTACCTATGTTATTTTTCCTCTAATGTGATACATGGGTTTAACAAACGTTACACATCTTGCCGCACATCAGTGATGGAACAACATTATATATTTGGTGTCAATTGACACCCCCCAAATTTTTTGGGGAGGATTGAAATTTTCTTTTATAAAATTTTTATAGAAATATTAAAAATGCATTTAATATCACTTTAAAATAAAATTGGCACAACTTTATCCCATGAATTGAAAGAAGTACCATAAGTTAGGGATGGCTATGGCTGCCAAGTAACCGAAGGCTAAAAGTACAAGCGTGAGGGGCATGAATCTGGTGTCGCCTTTTGCCAGGAGAGTGTTCTCTGGAAAAAGAAAATACTGGATGTTGGATGTTGGATGTTGGCTCGTAACGAGAAGTTTAAAAGAGGGAATACCAGCATGATGTGAAATGTGTAGCTCATTCGAACTATGTCATTGAGTGAAGATCCGATCGCTGAACTGGAACTTCGATCAAAGTTAACGAGTATATCTGCCATGATTGAATCTCCGATGGTGAAATAGATTGCAGCACATAAGAGCAGTATATTCCGGACTGCTGATGTCATATCGGAAGGCTTTTCCATCTCAAAACCAAGTGGACGAACTTCAATCCCGAAACCAATTAAACTGCAACTGCATCATAGTTTGATCTAAGACAACAAGGTGGAGCCCTTTGCTTTTAGTCTAGATTCCAGACCGAAGAACTTCAACCCCGAAAGCACAAGGTCTGCTGCTTTCTTTTCCATGTAATCAATCAAAAATTCATCATATACGATCAGATTAGCTTCGGTTATCAGTTTCCGGGTTCTCAAATTAGCAAACACCTTCCTCGCCTCTTCTACAGTCCGATACTTGCACATGCCGGCTATAATTCCGGAACATACAATGTTATCTGGAGGCAAATCTTCTTGCATCATTGCATTCAGCACTTCCATCACTTTCTCAGCACCTGATTTACAGGCGTGGAGGATAGTAAGAGTGTACTTAAATTCCATGGGTCCATATGTAACAGTACCTAAACAATCACAAACCAACATAATAGCTGCATCGATCTCACCGATTTTGCAGAGACCTTTAGTGAGAGAATGGTATGCTTCAATGGAAGGAACACATGACATCTCTATAATTTTGTTATGGCAGATGCAAGCATCCTTAAAGTTCTCATCTTCAACATAGCATAATACTGCATTACTATATGTAGAGGAGTCGGGCTCGAGATTCATATCCTTCATCTCTTGAAATAGTGAAAATGCTTGCTTCACCTTCCCAGTCTTGTGGAGAGCCCCCATCAGAATATTATATATCGGGACACTACTGTAACCTTTTGCTTTTAACTCGTCAAACACTTGTAAAGCCATTACTGTTCTTTCCTCCTCCTCAGCCACAAACGAGAAGAACTTACAGAGATCATCATTAATAGAAAATCCTAACTTCTGCATCTGCTCTAGCAACTTGCAAAAGTCAGACATTCGTCTCATCTCTGCAAATGCCAGCAACATCGGCTTCACGGTCGCAAAGTCCGGCTCTAAGCCCTCTTGAACGGTTACCTGAAAAAGCTTATACGCTCTATCGATCAGCCTCGCATCACACAAGCCTTCGATAAGTGAAGTGTAAATCCCCAAATCGGCCCTATAACCAGAATCCATCAAATCCTTCAACAAACCACAAGCAGAGCCAACCTTCCCGTCCTTCACGAATCCTTCTATTAAGACACCATAGGTCGCCCTCTCGATCAATATCCCTTTCTTTTTCATATCCTTAAACAACTCATACCCTCGCTGCACCCGGCCTCCCTTGCACAACCCTGCAATTAATGTCACATACGCCATTACATCCGGCTCCACCCTATCCCGCTGCATCTCCTCCCAAACGTGCAAACACCCATCCAAATTTCCTTTGGAAACCAAGATCCTAATCATAGCCGTATAGGCGAAAACATCAGGCTTACATAACGTGTCCCTCATCTTCCCTAAAACCTCTAGCATTTCTTCGATCCGCCCAGCCTTACATAAACCCTTGATCAAAATCATGAATGTAATGCTTTCCTCCATCAAACCATCCCCTCTAAAATCCTCATACACAGACAATGCTAAATCTAAATATCCAGTTTTGATCAATGCATCCATTACTCGGTTATACAAGAAAACACGCGGCTTAATTCCGAAATTCCTCATTTTCTGATACACATAATAAACCCTTTGTCCTCTATTGTTATCAGCATGCATGCGTATTAGAATTTCAAACTGCTTTTCAGTCGGCGGTTTCCCTTGCGAATCCATTAGTTCCGGTACCTGATCGGCAGCTCGAAAACGACCATTTCTATTGAGTCAATAAGCTAAAGCATTATAAGAAGCGAAATCATGTTTAAACCCTTTCTGCTTACCAGCCCAGCGAAAGAATTTGGATGCCAAAACGGGGTCGTCTTGGACTTTGAGCACTTCCCCCACGAGCGAGGGAGTAACACGACGGAGCTTGTTGAGTTCAAAGACAACAGTTGGTCCCCAAGTGTACTGGTTCTTGCGGAAGGCATCGATGATGAATCGGGCGATTGGTGAGAGTTTAGGGTTTTGGTGTGGATTGGGAATGACTGGCGGCAGCGATGGATTCCGAGAGAGGTGGTGTGGGTCCCATTTGTGGAGATCAAAGGGCGGTGAAAGTGGTGGAGGAGTTTGGGGTGGTTTGAGGATCTGACGGTTCGAAAAGAGGCCGCCATAAACAACTGGGCGGTTCTGGGAGGGCTTCCGGTGGCCATAGAAGAAGTAGGGTTTTGGGGAGATTGATTTGGGTGGCATTTTTGGATCCTCTTTGTTCACCCAGAATTTTTAAGAGGGCTTTCTTCTTCAACTAAAATTTGTCTTTTTTATCATTGCTTGATTTCTTCTCGAAATATCAAAATGGTAACTATAGTTTTATTTTATTCATTTTTATCATTATTTTTTTCAACGAAAAATAGTAATTTGATCACTTAATGTTTTAACTTAATCAAGATATAATCATAAAATTAAGTTCTAATATTTATTTAAATGATCACGTTGGTCTTTAGTTTTTTTTTTGGAATAATTTAGTCATTGATATTTTAATTTTTATCTAAATAATTCCTATTAAAAAATTATAAGTTAACTAATAATTAATACATATTATTATATAATTTAACAATTGAGGAGATTTGTTCTCTTTGAATAATTTATGATAAATATAACATAGTATATGTTGAAAACGTTTTAATCAATTAATAATGTACATAACTGTTTAAATTCAAAACCTCTGAGAACAATACTTTTTTTATTATAGAAAACTATTAGTTTTATTAAAAATGTAAAATATCCAGAATTATAATAAAAATGTACAAGCATAATTGTAAACTTAAACTAAATCATAATTAAGACATTTTCTTATAACTATTAACACAAAAAATAAACACCTAGATCACACAAGGACCAAAGAAAGAATATGTAAAAAAATAATTAAAATGCTCGAAAAAAATAAAGATACGAACAAATCTGACTGCATTGGCAAACGAACTACAAAAAGGAGATGAACCTACTGAAAGACCACCGAAAAATCACAAATCAAAGTCAAGCGACTTGAGAAAACCATCCACGAACGCAAAAAACATATCAAAATCAATCGAATGGTCCAAAAGCATGGAAGATCAACATAATAGAAAACTAAAAGAAAAAAAAGAGGAAAGACAACCAACAGTCGGCAACCAACATCAAAACCGATGCCATCACCAACTAAACAAAATAAAAGAAGAAAAAGTTGATTTAATCTATAAAAAATAACACAAATTGTAAAGAACAGATGAGGAGAAGAGAAGGAAGAGAGTGACTAGGGTTTAGAGATAATCTCATATTAAAAGTAATAATAATATTTTTTTAGTTACTGAGATCATTTGATGAGTTCATAAATCTATATTTTTATTAATATGAGTAAATATACAATAATATATGTTCAAAGTTAACTCTAATCTCAACCTTTTAATTAATATGATACATTTTAGTACTTGAATTTGATTTTTTTTCTAATGCGGTACCATGTTATTTTTTTCCCTCTAACGTGGTATATGGGTTTAACAAACATTACATATCATCACATATAAACTCATCAACCGAATATATAATACACACATGTCAGATTCATGTATCAAAATATGTAACATTTATTAAATCCAAATATTATATCAGACTAAAAAATACATATAGTACATTAAAAAAAATCAAATTCTGATATCAAATTGTACAAAAATACTACATTATAAAATATCAAAATTCGATTAAGAAATGATGTAATAAGGAAGCTATGAGGAAAGGCAAAATAAAGAGTAAAAAGGTTGGGAAAGCTCTCTTATATGCAAATGCTTTTAGTAAGCAATTTGTAAAGAACATGTGATTCGATACAGTAGGATAATTCAGGCATCCAGTTCCTGTAACTCATTACATGTCTGAAATTCTTTCAATAAAGAACAACCTGTCTATTGTAATGAAACAACCATCCAAAAATACACTAATACAAAAAAAATCTCTTCATTATAAGAAAAGAAAAGAAAAACACAGGAAGCAGATCATAATGCATCCCCTGTGACAAGGCTATATATGTTGGTTGAAAACAACATCCTATACTCAACGGACTATTTGTGTACTTTACTTTAAAATATATAATTTCTCCGTAAAGTACACAAATGGTCTCATGATGACTACATGACATTGTTTTGTTGTGTGTTGAATTATTAAAAATTATGAAGTGATCCATTGATTATAAAATATTATTTTATTGAGTCTCCCGACTATTAAAAGATATAAAATGATCACTCGATTATTCATATATTAAAAACTCGTCATTTTATATTAAAAATTAATTGCAATCTAAGTTGTATGTTAACTTGCTTATTGTGATATGATAAAATATAATCTCAAAATCTCAAAAGAATATCATATCTCATTCAACATATTAACGTCCAGCTCAGATTGTCATCAATTTTTTTAACAAAAAATGATGAGTTTGGAACATAAGAATAGTCAGATGAGTATTTTATAACTTAATATGATGACTATTTTATAACTTTTAATAGTTGAGTGGCTCAACAAAATAATATTGTGTAGTGCATGACTATTTATATACTTCACCCACAAATTTCTAATTAAAAAGTTTGTTATATTTCACTAATCACAAATAAAAAAAATTATTAAATAATAAATTATAATCTCTGACCATGCTAAGTTGAATATCACTAATTCACAATTTTAAGCATTTCAAAGTGTTTCATAGCTGCATGCATATCGAGAAATTTTCGTATAAGAAAAGGTTATTTTGGTGGTTAAATGAAACAATATTATTATTGAAAAATGAAAATATTTAATAAAATTCATATCTCGGACACATGTGCTATCTATTTTTTTAATAAAATTGATAGGAATTTCTTTTATATATTTTGACCACTCTTTTCGTTCCTTTTATTTGACCTCTTTTATTCCTTTCTTTTATTTTAGTCCCTAAAATAAAAGGAGAGAGAAATCGTCGAGAGAAAAGTGAGACTTCCCCCAAAATTAAAAAATTACAATAAAATCGTTAGAAAAATATGATAACTCTATTAAAGACATCAGAAGAATATAACGAAATCAAAGAATATTATAGAAAATATCTCAAATCTTTAAATAATTTACGAGATACCCAAATCTTCAATTTTTTTTAACAATAGTATTGCTCTCATTCAACCTATTTTGGGTTTTCTTTCTATTTTCTAAAAAGTATATTCTAAAAATAATTAATACGTTCTTGCACTATTAAATTAAGGGTGTTAAAAATAATTGAATTTTTAACAGTTAATTAAATTATTTTGTTTAAAAAAAAAACTTCAAATTAAATTAATTATTAATTGATTATTAAAAAATTAATATTTTTGACTAAATTAATTTTGATAACTGAATTAATTTAGTTCGATTGGTTAATTCGAATAAGAATGATAAATAAACACCTTTTTACCATGGTCAAACTAAGAATTAAGATAAAAATACAGGGACTAAACAGTGGTTTTAAGCCATCTAGAAATGTTTGAAGCTTGAAATCATATGATGAACGTCAGGACCACTTCTATTCAAACATTCAAAAGAAGATCCTCCTATGTTGTAAGTAGGGATGTTCATTCGATTAATTCGGTGGTCGAACCGACTGAATTATTATTTTTGAATTAATTAAACTTTTTTTTTTCTTTAATCGTTAACCGAACAAAATTTTTTTTCGAAAATATTAACCAAACTGAATAAATTTCGATTAATTCAGTTAATTTTTAAATTAACCGAAATTTTTTAGAATTTAATATTTTTTTAATTAAAAAAAATAATTTACAATTAATTTAAATAATATCTAATTATAAATAATATCTAATTAATTTAATTCAAACATTTTGTATTTAGTTTTGATATTATTTTAATTAATTAATATTGATTTGGGTTTTAAATAGATTTTAAATAGATTTGGGCCTCTTAATATAATTATATTTAAAGGTTAGTTCGATTAATTCAGTTAATTAACGATTTTGAACCGAATTAACCGTTAATCGAATTTTAAAAATATCCTTAACCGTTCCCCGACCGAATTAATTCGGTGGTCGACCGAATTAATTCAGTTCGATCGATTAACTCGGTTAAAACCGAATTTTGAACACCCCTAATTGTAAGACCTGTGATTGGTCAAAACGAGTGGTGGTGTCATCTCTAGAAGTTCACATCTCGTACAGGTGCTGCAACTAAATCAAAAGTGAATATCTTTCGTTTTAGAACAAATTCCATTACAGCTTCTCTCGTGAATCATTTTCTCAACCTTCATTGACCAAAGTTCCAGCCAATAAATTTGCTCCTGTTTGATGTGATCAGGTTAGTTTTCCTTCAAATTTTTTGTATATATATGCTCTCTTTTTTTATTTGTTAGATGAAAGAAATTTAGCAAATTTCTGGGTATTCTTTCATTTATCTGGAATCCCTTCTGATGCTAAAGAACAAATTTTTATGTAAAAATACGATGATGTGAAAGTCAATGGTTTGAATTTTAGATTTTAGGATAGATTTTGTGTTCTGGGTCAACTTCTGTTTATCAAAATATTGATCTGTTAGTGATTTTAGGATAGACTTTATAGTTGGCTTAGCTTTGAAGATTCGTTGCTTCCCCTTTGTTTTCCAATTCAATTTTACAATTACACTTTAAGTGCTTGTACATAAGAAACTCATGGATTTCTTTTGTATTAGTTTATTTAGCTTTAGGGTTTAGGGTTTCTTAGTTTCCATGTTGTTTTGCTGCACTTTTAGTGGTAGTAACCTGGGATTTAAATTGTGGTAGTGTTTTCGGTTGTGTTGCTTTTATCACGATCGCAGACATAACGGATGCTAAAACGGTCATTGCAGTCGTGCAATAACAATTTCAGACATCACTTTTACTGCCATATAACAGCCGCTATTCCGATAGCGGACTGCTATTTAAATCCCCGGTAGTAACTGCTGAATAATAGATTGGATTGTGTGTCTTCTGGTTTTGTTGCATATGAGCTTCTCCCGCACATTTCTGGGATTTGATTTGAGGGTCTATTTGATATTAGAATGGCTTCAAGTCATAATGGGAATTCGAAAGAGCAAATTGAGGAATCCGACGAAATTTCTCTTCACGTTTCATCGTCGCGAAAGACGCTTCTAAATGGTGAAAACCCTCAAAGAAAGTCCTTTATCAGCTCTATGTTTCCACCGAGTAGACTCAAGTTTCTTAATTTAGGTTCTGCATCCGCTAGTTTCAAGCGTTTAGCTCAAGAAAGAGACGAGGTTTCTCGGTTGGTGGCTTCTTCGAGTGGCCATGGGATACGAGAACGTCTGTCCGGGGTTTTCGCCAAGAAGATCAATTGGGTTTCTGTCATGAAAATGAGCAAGGAATGGATAAAGGACCCCATGAATATGGCCCTTTTCGTATGGATCCTGTGTGTTGCTATCTCGGGTGCTATTTTGTTTCTTGTCATGACCGGAATGTTGAACAAGGCACTCCCTAAGAAGTCCCAGAGAGACGCCTGGTTCGAAGTCAACAATCAAATTCTCAATGCTCTGTTTACTCTCATGTGCTTGTACCATCACCCTAAGCGATTTTACCATCTTGTGCTTCTCTGTAGATGGAAGCCGGAAGACATTTCCCGACTTCGAAAGGTATACTGTAAGAACGGGACTTATAAGCCCCATGAGTGGGCACACGTGATGGTTGTTGTCGTGCTACTCCATATAAACTGTTTCGCTCAGTATGCCCTTTGTAGTCTGAACTGGGGATTCAAAAGATCCGAGCGACCTCCGATTGGTGTCGGGATATGTATATTGTTTGCAATAGGTGCACCAGCATTGGCTGGTCTTTACACCATTATTAGCCCTCTTGGGAAGGATTATGTTTGTGAAATGGACGAGGAAGCACAGAAGGCGGTTGACGATGGTGAAAGTAGGAGATCGGAGCAGTCGAGACGAAAGTCCTTCGAGAAGCGATATTCATTCGCATCCGGAGATGCAGAGCGAATCGTCGAGAGCAGACCACTCTGGAGTGGAGGGATTCTAGACTTCTGGGATGACATTTCTCTAGCATATCTTTCTGTTTTTTGTAGCTGTTGTGTCTTCGGGTGGAACATGGAGAGACTCGGGTTCGGGAACATGTATGTACATATCGCCACTTTTCTCCTGTTTTGTATGGCTCCTTTCTGGATTTTCAACCTGGCTGCTGTGAATATCGATAACGAGACCGTCAGAGGGGCTCTCGGTTTTACCGGTATTGTTCTTTGTCTGTTCGGTTTATGTTACGGTGGCTTCTGGAGGATTCAAATGAGGAAGAGATTCAATTTGCCGGCGTACAAGTTTTGTTTAGGTAATCCAGGAGCCGGTGATTGCACGCTATGGTTATTCTGTTGTTGGTGCACTCTTGCTCAGGAAGTTCGCACCGGGAATTCTTATGATATCGTAGAAGATAAGTTGTTAAGAAAACAAATGAACAATGGTAACAATCTGCCGATGTCGCCTTTACCTCGTGAAGGTGGGAAATTCAGTCCCGGCCCTAGTTCTTCGCCCGGATACAATTCCAGCCCGACCACGAGATTTTCAACCAATTCTTCAAGTCCCAAAACGATTTCAAAGGAATATTATAGTCCAGAGCGGCAACTTTCTACAGTGAAAGAAGAGTCTTCAGTAGGAGGCAAAGATGAAACCATGATTCCACCTACTCCGTCGTCAATACAGAGAGAAGAAACATAACTGCGTAAATTTTCCGAGCCTCGGTGTCATGGTCCGACGAATCAATGTTCATATTACACACATGTTCTTTAGAGCATTGAAATACATTATATAGTCCCACATTTTCTCATACTTTCTTGCTTCTTTTTCATTTTTGAGTGAAAAAGTATGTAAAATTTGCGTGCATCGTATTTTTTTGAGTCATATCCTCTTCTCATGTCTGAATATATGGTGAACACAAGTATTTCAGGCAAAATGAATAGTCGGGGTAACATAGCCTTTTAGTTTGTAAGGTTTGTCCGTAACTGAGTTCCGAAAGGAACTGGAATCGTCTTGTGAAATGTTTGACGCTTTTGATCATCTTTTTTCCCATATTCAACGCCAGAATGTGCAAAAGATATTCATTTTAGATGTCAACATGATAAACAACAGTGGAACAAGTCGCTCAAATTGCAGATTAACAATAAAGATAGATTTTTAAATTGAAAAGAGATGGTGTGGGTAAGAGATGACATTTGAATATTGATTAGTTCAGCAAACAGTTCTAGTCGAAAGGATCTTAACAAAGTGTCTACAATGATTTATAAAATTATACAAGAAGAGATGACAATAATCTTGTAATGAATATTCAAGAATCAAAGTGTCTTTAAATACAAAAGAAGAAAAATTATTTATATGTTAGAAAAAGTCTACAATTTTAATTAGAGATAGAGATAATTTATAAAATATTTTCTTAATCTAAAAAACTGAATACTAATAAGTAAAACTTGTTTTTATGTAAATCTCTTAATAAGCTAAATAAATGATAAATATGATTCTAAATTATCTAAAATAAATAATATTAAATTTAATTACAAAGAATTAATATAATTATAGTATATAAAAAATTTCATATTGTATATATATACAGTTTTTTTGTGTGCATTGTCTTTACTAAAAGAGACATCTTGAATTATCAGCATTCAAATGAAATATTTTAAGATGCGTTTGAAAAACGATTCATACGTAAGAAAATATCTGGATCCCATCTAAAAGTTTATTGTAAATCAATTAATGTTGTAATCTTTAAAAATAACTTGAATTCTTTATTTAAGATAACTGGTTTGACCATTAGTACCCTTGGATCGCATGGTGGAGTTTTCTTCTTAAAATCATTATTGATTTCATATATTTATCAGTGAAATTAATTAATTTCATTTGCCAAGGGTTTAGTGGGATGTCTAGTGTCAACCAAAGCAATGGCCATACTTTCCCTACAAAACCTGTTTTTTCTTTCTTTCTAAAAGCATTGCTGATGAAGCGTTTAGATTAGGTATTAAGAAACATAATTTCCCATCGAACTTACATTGTGCATTACACGTGGAAGGGAACGCAGTGGAGTGTATTGTTAATAGCAGAGGCTTCATTGGTCTTGTTGTTGAAATGTCAAAGCTTGGGCGGCAGAAAATTGATTCAAGTTAGGCACCTAATATTGCAATGTCAAAATTAGGTGCAACAATATCAAAATTAGGTGCAATAATGTTTGAAAATTAAATGGGTAAATTATAAACTTTAGTCACTAAAATTTAGGGTATTTATAAGATTAGTCCTTAAGTTTCAACTATAAATACCCTAGCTCATTTAGCTTCAAAATCATCCCAAAGCATTATAGCTTTCTTCCAAATACTAGAGAATTTAGAGAGTTTCTTGAGAGTTGTTTTCTCCCTTTTATCAAGAGATAATTATCATTGTTTTCTCCTTGGTAGATCGAGAGAGGTTGTAATTCCTATTTTCTCATAGTGAAATTCTTCTACCGTTGCCCGTGGTTTTTACCCTAAATTTTTAGGGATTTTCCACATAAATTTTGTGTCTCTTTTATCTTCATTTTTATTTTCTCAAATTATCAGTTGCGATTTTGCTCTATCCGATAGCCGTCTTCCGCAACAATTGGTATCAGAGCTAGATTAGAGTGTGTAATATCTACTTATTGTCTTTGTGGTTGCCACCAAAAGGTGGATCCTCCAACATAAGAAAGTAAGAAGTTATTACCCATTCTTTGAAGGTTCCAGAGAACTATTCACGATAGTGAAATAGTGGGAGCTATCCGTAAAAGAAGATATGACAACGAAATTTGATATTGAAAAGTTCAATGGGAGAAATTTCTCATTGTGGAAATTAAAGATGAAGACCATCCTGAGGAAAGACGGGTCTCTAGCGGCTATCAATGAAAGGCCAGTGGATTTCTCAGATGACATCAAATGGAACGAGATGGACGGAAATGCTATGGCAAACTTTCATCTAGCATTAGCAGATAAAGTATTGTCAAGCATCGAGGAGAAGAAGATAGCTAAGGAGATATGGGATCATCTCACCAAATTGTACGAGGCCACATCGTTGCACAATAAAATTTTCCTTAAGAGGAAATTGTATACTCTCCGTATGCCAGAATCTACTTCAGTGACGAAGCACTTAAACACACTGAACACTTTATTTTCTCAGCTTACATCCCTAAGATGTACAATAGGAGAACAAGAACGTGCTGAACTTCTACTTCAAAGTCTACCTGATTCGTATGATCAACTCATCATCAACTTGACAAACAATAATGTCACCAGTCTAGTCTTCGATGATGTTGCAGCTGCTGTTCTACAAGAAGAAAATCGGCGCAAGAACAAGGAAGACAGACAAGTAAATCTGCAACAAGCAGAAGCGTTGACAACGATGAGAGGGAGATCAACAGAACGTGGCCAAAGCAACAGTCACAAACATGGTAGATCGAAGTCGAGAAGCAAGAAGAATTTAAAGTACTACCACTGTGGAAAGAATGATCACTTGAAGAAGGATTGTTGGAGTCTAAATAAAAACTCCAATCCACAAGGCAATACCGCAAACACTTCAGATGATGGAGATGCTCTATGCCGTGAAGCGTCAACCACCGTGGAAGACAGAAATAGATTTGTAGATATATGGCTCATTGATTCGGGAGCGACATATCACATGACCTCAAGAAGAGAATGGTTCCATCATTATGAACCTGTCTCAGGAGGATCTGTGTATAGTTGCAATGATCATGCCTTAGAGATCGTTGGTGTAGGAACCATTAAATTGAAGATGTATGATGGAACAATTAAAGTTGTTCGAGATGTGCGACACGTGAAAGGTTTGAAGAAAAATTTATTATCCTACGGATTGTTGGATAATAATGCTAGCAAGATTGAAACACGGAAAGGAATCATGAAGGTGTTCCGTGGAGCGCTTGTGGTGCTGAAAGGTGAAAAGATAGCTGCAAACTTGTACATGCTGAAGGGAAAGACATTGTTAGAAGAAGAAGCCTCTTTGCCTCATGTAGTTCAGATTCTGCAATGCTATGACATAAGAAACTTGGGCACATGTCAGAACAAGGAATGAAAGTCCTTGTGGAGCAAAACCTACTTCCAGGCTTAACAAATGTATCACTTACTTTGTGTGAGCATTGCATAACAAGTAAGCAGCACCGGTAGAAATTCAACACATCAAATTCTAGAGGCAAAAGTGTTCTAGAATTGGTTCACTCTGACGTATGGCAAGCACCAGTAACATCCCTAGGTGGAGCAAAATACTTTGTCTCATTTATTGATGACTACTCCAGGAGATGTTGGGTGCACCCTATTAAGAAGAAGTCAGACGTGTTTTCAACTTTCAACAACTTCAAAGCGCGGGTGGAACTTGATTCTGGAAATAAGATCAAGTGTTTAAGAACAGATAATGGAGGAGAATACACAAGCGAAGAATTTGATGACTTTTGCAAGAAAGAAGGCATCAAAAGACAGTTCACAGTGGCGAACACTCCTCAACAAAATGGAGTGGCAGAGCGGATGAACAGAACCTTGTTAGAAAGAACAAGAGCAATGTTAAGGGACGCAGGCCTAGAAAAATCATTCTGGGCAGAAGCAGTCAATACCGCCTGTTATTTGTTGAATCGAGCTCCATCAACTGCAATAGAGCTGAAGACACCAATGGAGATGTGGACTGGTAAACCAGTTGATTATTCAAACCTCCATGTATTTGGAAGTATTGTGTACGTGATGTACAACGCCCAAGAAATTTCAAAGCTGGATCCAAAATCCAGGAAATGTAAATTTTTGGGGTATGTTGATGGAGTAAAGGGGTATCGCTTGTGGGATCCCACTGCCCGCAAAGTGATCATTGGCAGGGATGTTATCTTTGTAGAAGATAAAATAAAAAGAAAAGAAGACGATGATAGCGCTGAAAAGTCAGAGACTACTCAGATACATGTGGAAAAAGAGTTTGAAGAAAGAGATTCTTCTGACGCAGAACCAACACATGATGAACAAGAACCAGAGAGTTCTGAAGCTCCAACAACTCGTCAATCAGATCGTGTGATAAGACGTCCCAATTGGCACTCAGATTATGTTATAGAAGGTAATATTGCATACTGCCTTTTAACAGATGACGGTGAGCCATCAACATACCAGGAGACAATAAACAGCTCAGATGCTTCACTGTGGATGATGGCGATGCAAGAAGAAATCGAAGCCCTTCATAAAAATAATACATGGGAACTTGTGCCACTACCACAAGGAAGAAAGCCAATTGGTAACAAATGGGTTTTCAAAATCAAGCGAAATGGTGACGATCAAGTTGAGAGGTATCATGCAAGACTGGTGGTCAAAAGATATGCTCAAAAAGAAGGTATTGATTTCAATGAAATATTTTCTCATGTGGTTCGACTAACAACAGTTCGAGTAGTTTTGGCAATGTGTGCTAAATTGAACTTACATCTAGAGCAACTAGATGTTAAAACAACTTTTCTTCATGGAAATCTTGAAGAAGAGATTTATATGCTCCAGCTTGAAGGTTTTAAAGAAGAAGAAAAGAAGAACTTGGTTTGCAGGTTGAACAAATCTCTGTACGGTCTAAAGCAGGCGCTGAGGTGTTGGTATAAGAGATTTGATTCCTTCATTATGTGCCTTGGATACAACAGACTTAATGCAGACCCTTGTGCTTATTTCAAGAGGTATGGTGATAACGATTTTGTTATATTGTTGTTGTATGTGGATGACATGTTGGTTGCAGGACCCAACAAAGATAATATTGAAGAATTGAAGGCACAACTGGCTAGGGAATTTGAAATGAAGGACTTGGGATCAG